TCCCAGCTCCTCGCCCGCACCGGAGCCATCGCTGGCCTCGGGGGAAGAGAGGCGATGGATCGCGCGCGGGGAGCGAAAAGGGAGCGCGAGGGCGCTCCGAGGACGCGCCTCCCCACCCGCCCCCAAACCGTCTTCACTGAGAAAGGGAAACGGATGGGGGGTGGGGGCGAGGTTTGTTCCCAACTCGAAACCGCGAGATTAGTCCCTTCCGTTGTACGCCCTCCCCGCCCTCACATTCCCTGCTCAGGCCCCTTATGTCTGCGCCTGGAGCCACGACGCGAGCCCCCGAGCCCCTCGGGCGCAGGGTCCTGTCCGCATCCCCACGCCTCCCGCCCAGCCCTTCCGCCGGCCGCCGCCCGGAGTCCCCGCTTACGGTGGTTCCTCCCTCCCGTAGGCAAAGATATGGAAACAAAGATCATTCATACCTAGAAGGTCTTTATCCGTGACCGGACTAAAGACAGTATCTCTGTATATTGAGAGGCAAATTTAAAACCACATGATAAATTTCCTGGCTGAAGCGGGTTTGGAGATACAGGCGGGGTGGATAGCGCCAGCTCTGCCCCCTAGAAACCAGCGTAAACCTTGGACAAGTTAGTTGCTACGCTTCCTCAGAGCCTTTGTTGTGAAAAGATAAAAGTACAGTCCGGAGTCGTTGTGAGAATGAAATGAGATACTTTAAGAGCATTTTGTAAATTCCAAAACTATGTATAAAAAATAAAATTATAGCCCAAAGGAGGCTAAGAATATGAATGTTCAACTACGCTATTCCTTTTTCTTAAGGAAAAAAAAAAAAACCAACACCAAGGGCGACCGACGACCTCCAGGTTTACATGGAAGATTCACTTCCAAATAATGTCAGTCACCAGAGACACCAGGTGTGAGGTACAGTAGTGTGCTCACCAGTTTGCCTTCTTGTTGGTCTCAGCCCTGTCTCAGTGACCTCAGCCAACAACTTTTCACTACTCCACTCTCAGTCAATCGCCAATATAATTTCATTTTCTGCTTTTAACGAAATTTTGACAAATTTATTTCAGCGTCTTGAGAGTCCTTTAAGAGATGTAGCATAACCCGGGATGGTAACTTCTGGATCCAGATGGCCCAGATTGGATTTATGGTTCTGCTACCCATGTGATCCTCTGCAGTAACTTAACCTCTCTGTATCTTTATCTGATGAGCTGTAAAAGTGAGGATAAAAATAGTTACCTACTTCATGGAGTTGTCTTAGGAGTAAATGAGTTAATAAGTATATAATATTTAACACCTGACACAGATCAAGTGCTGTTCAAAGTGTTTAGTGTTATTGTAATGTTACATCAGTGAGTAACCTAGGATAGGCGTCTAGTTTTACAAAATTTAGAGGAACAAACGCCCTATAAGATAGATACACTATCTTGAGAACGAAGGGGATAAGGTCTACAGAACTAAAATGTTGCTATTTACTTCCACTCTGATATTCAACCCCCTGGGACATAAAGTATATTCAACTCAAAAACCAAGAGAAGCATTTTGTGATCGAGGAAAGCTTGAGCACAGAGAGACTAACACTGAAAATCTGGCAAAATAGACATAGTGAAATTGACACAGGGAAAAAATTGTACAGAGGATCAATAATAATATTTAAGCTATTCCTTCAGTCCCACTCTTAAGGAATCCAATTTGTGGTAACTGTGCATCTCCAGAAAAAGTGGGTTGTACTGGTGAAACTGTGGATAGGAAGTATGACTATTAACTCACTTGACTATTAACACTTAGAAGTTGTTATTCAGGGCCAGGCACAGTGGCTTACGCCTGTAATCCCAGCACTTTGGGAGGCTGAGGCAGGTGGATCACCTGAGGTCGGGAGTTTGAGACCAGCCTGACCAACATAGAGAAACCTTGTCTCTACTAAACATACAAAATTAGCCAGGCGTGATGGCGCATGCCTGTAATCCCACCTACTCGGGAGGCTGAGGCAGGAGAATCACTTGAACCTAGGAGGTGGAGGTTTCAGGCTGAGATCATGCCATTGCACTCCAGCCTGAGCAACAAGAGCGAAACTCTGTCTCGAAAAAAAGTTGTTATCAATGTATTGCTACTGTGTGCCATACACATTCTGAGATATTCTCATGTATATAACAACGTTGCTTTTGACTTAAGCTAACAGGGAGTAAAACAAAGCTCAGGAGGGTATTTATAAAAACAAAGCCAATGATAAGGCTTAAACAGATTACCATTATCGTGATATTGTTAAGATAATGTTTACGTAATGATCAAATTCATACATCATACTTTTTGTATGAAGTAATAAGGGGGCAAAAATTATTTATACCATTTCCATATTGGAAACCCAAGGTTCAGAAAGGCTGTACGTATATTCAGTCATAATCTTTGAGCATTCATGGTTGATATGTTTAGGCAGCTATGGACTCACATCTCCTTTGGGTAGCAACACTTGCTCAAAAATACTGTAAGTAGTTGTTCTTGGCATAATCATGCACAACTCATTTTTAACTAGTGAATTAATATTTTTTAGGAAGTTCGGGGGCGGGGGGGGGGCGGTCAGTTGAATCCCCTGGGAAGACATACTGTAAGTAACCTAGCATGTCTGGAGTCAGATCAATCTGATTTGAAATCCTAGCTGTATT